TGAGTCAGAACCAACTCTACGGCACTTAATAACAACAACATTCAAGAAAAGGAACCCTGGTGGCACTGTGGATTGAGCATTGAACTACTAAGCAAAAGGTCTGGTTCTAACCCACCAGCTACACTGTAGAAGACAGATGAGGTAGTCTGCTGCCATACAGGTTTTCAGCCTCAGAAACTGTAGGGAGCAGTTCTACTTGCTATGAGTTGGAATTGAGTGGAAGTAGATACATTCCTGGAAACCAGTTTCCTTACAGACATCTTATATATAATCCTTTTTTTTTTTTTCTCTACGAACATTTTCACACCCAAACTTAGCAAATGGATTCCAATAATTAATCGAGCGGACTAATGGACTGTGCAAACATAAGTCTCCGTGACCCTGAGACCCGAAGAACTAGATGCTGCCCAGTTCCCATAACCAACAGCTCTAAAAGGGATCACATTAGGAGGGCCTGGATAGCGTGGGGAAAAAATGTGGACCAAAACTCAGAATCATAAACTAGAGACCAAGCTTAGTAGTCAGATAGACTGGTGGACCCCCTGACCCCCTGTCACCTTTCAGGTCTGGACCTGAACTCACACCCCTGAGGCTCACAATAGACAGGTCTACAGGAAAAGCACAACTAGCACTACTAGTGAAGTAGGCACACCTTGGAATGATAATCAACCTTCTGAGATCAAAAGGGCAGCATTTACTCAAGGACAGAGTTCAAAGGAGCAGAAAACTCAGGCATGAAGTGGGATAAGTGATGTGCCATTGTGGGAACTGCAAGCAATGGCATGAAATGGTTGAATGGAAAGCTGCTGATCTGCTCTGTCAATCTTCAGCCAATTCTCAAAAAAAGTTAAAGAAATAAAAATAAAAAGGAACTGAATTTAATACCATGCCAGATTTAAAAGTGTCTGGGTGTATGTGGGTATGTAGGAGTGTGTATATGTATATACGTGTGTGTGTGTGTGTGTGTGTGTGTATACTTAGATACTCATAAAAGGGCTTCAAAAGGTTTGTGGAAAACAGAACTGAAAGAGAATGGAATTTTTCCACAAACGTTTTAAAGCTATTGAGTTCATTGTTAAGTGCTGTTGAGTCGTTTCCAAGTCCTAGTAGCCCTGTATATGGTTTCTGAAGAGAGGTTGGTGATTTTGAACCACCAACTGTACAGACAGCAGTCCAATGCTACAGCCCCACACCAGAACACACACACCCCCACTCTCTCCCGCTCCTCTTTTCTCTTTACATACATATGTAGTTCATACCCACCAGCTGCTCCAAGAGAGTGTGATGAGATTGTCTGCTCCCATCCAACAGATTTGCAGCCTTGGAAACCCTAAGGAGCAGTTCTCGGTTCTATAGGGTCATTATGAGTCTGAATCAACTCAGTGGCAGTGGGGTTCTGAGCTGGAATCGACTCATTGGCAGTGTGTATATATATATAAACATATATACACACACACACACACATATATATATACATATATATACATATACTGAAAGCAGAGAATACCAGAAAGCTGAAATGTCAGAAAGACATTTCTTTCAACTGTAAGGATCATAACAAATCATGGAAAACATTGTGAAAATATAGAAATTCCAGAACACTGATTTGTGCTCATGCAGACCCTGCACACAGACCAAGAGGTAGTTGTTCAAACAGAACAAGGGCACATTATAAGGTTTAAAATCAGAAAAGGTGTGTCACGGTTGTATCCTTTCTCCATATTTATTCAACCTGTATACTGAGCAAATAATCTCAGAAAGTGAACTATGTGAAGAATGCAGCAACAGGACTGGAGGAAGACTCATCCACAACCTGTGTCGTGCAGATGGCACAACCCAGCTTGCTGAAAACAAAGAGGACTTGAAGCACTTTACTGATGAAGACTACAGACTTCAGTACGGAATACAACTATTAAGAAAACAAATATTCTCACAACTGAACCAATAAACAACATGAGAATAAACAGAGGAAAGACTGAAGTTTCCAATGATTTGATTTTACTTGGACCCACAATGAGCCAAGGAAGAAGTAGTCAAGAAATCCAACAACATATTGGGCAAATCTGCTGCAAAAGATTTCTTTAAAGTGTCAAAAAGCAAAGATGTCACTTTGAAGACTAAGGTTATTTTCCAATTGCCTTACATACATGGGAAAGCTGAACAATGAAAAAGGAAGACCAAAGAAGAATCGATGCCTTTGAATTATGGTGTTAGTGAAGAATAAGGAAGGTACCAAGAATTTTCAGAAAACAACAACAACAAATCCGTGTTGGAAAAAGCAGTCGAGTCCCTGGAGAAAAACACCAGGCTTGATAAAGCAGATGGTCAGAAAAAGAAAGATACCCTAAGCAAGATGGACTTTTACAGTGGCTGCAAAAACTGGTTCCAACATAACAAGGATGGTGAGGATGGCTCAGGGACAGCAGCGTTTGGTTCTGTTGTACATGGGGTCCATGAGTCAGGGCCAACCTAAGAGCACCAAACAACCGTATTATCTTTATGGTTACACCTGTCTATGTTGTCAACACAGTGTTGTTCTATCTGCTAAATACTCTTAACCAGTTTAACATAATGCACTTTTAAATACTAATGTTTATCAAAGTAAACTGTGTACATTGTTAGTGGGAGAAAGATGTGTCAATATACTTCCATAAAGATCAGAATCTTGAAAACCCTTTGGGCTATACTCTATCCCATAGGGTAACTATGAACCTTTAGTATCCATGTTTAAGAATTAAATCCTGAGGAGCAGGGAGTTAGTTACCAAAGTACAAATGAATTCTCTCTGGTAAATACTACTCTTGAGACTTTTTTGTTTTGTTTTGTTTTCAATTCAGAACTCGTGTAAACATTCCCATATTAACAAAACCCTAAGTTGTTTTGTTTTTCCACAAAGCAAACCTACAGATTTGATAGAAATGTGTATCATTGTTCACTTTTACAACCAGAATTTGATGTTAATCACTGTGATGTAATTAAGTCCAATTCCCGAAAGCCTTAAGGAATGAAGGGAAATATACAAAATCATCAAATGTCACAGAAGCAGAAGCTTGAGGCCAAAGAGAGACAGACAAAAGGAAATCTGTGTGGAGGACCATATGGGTAAAGCGAAAATACTTAGACCCTGTGACCCAGCCCCTCACCCACTATAATATACTTTATTTATCATAATATGTTGCTGTTAAGTGCTGTCGGTTCCAAATCATAGCGGCCCTGTACAGGGGTTCCGAGAAGCAGCTGGTAAGTTTGAACCACCGACCTTGCAGGTAGCATACAACTGCTTATCCTACAGCATAATTTGCGCCCTCCAAAATTAGTGGTTACGAATCGGGCTGCGAACCTTAAGGTCAGCGGTTCGAAACAGCTGCTCCGCGGGAGAAAGATGAGGCTTTCTACTCCTGTAAAGATTTACACCCTCGGAAACCCTGTACAGGGTCACTATGGGTCGGAATCGACTCGATGGCACTTAACAACAACAACAAAATTAGTAGTTGTAGCAAACTGATCATTGTGGGCAAGAAATTTAAGTCTTGTCAAATAGATAAAGAACCCCCCAAAAATACCAAAGCAGCAATTGGCATGGTGGTTGGAATAGTGGGCATGAAATCAAAGCCAACTGTGCTCAAGTCTCAGCACTAACGCTACTTCACGTACTACAAGGGCAAGGCACGAGGCCGGGGTCAGGGCGCCCCCAACAGATGAACACTTCTGCCATCGTGACCCGGGGCCTGGCGCCCCCAAGTGGGGCACGCACGGCGGAGGGCAGAGGACCAGGAGCTAGGAGGCGAGGGGCGGCCCCACATCCCGTCCCCAGCCGGCGCATCAATTACCCGTGAGGCTCCTCAGCACCGTCCCGTGGGCCCAGAGGCTCAGGACCTGCTGCACTGACAGGTTGATCAT